GGAATGTATCATTTGCACATGCTTTTGAGTCTTACAATTTTAAACATTCAAGTGCTAAATTTAGTACTTGCGCGCTCTGTGACTGTGAGACCCTTTCTGTGAGCCGCCTCACACCCAAAGCACGCGCACATAGAGACGCATCTGAGAGCACACGCCTTATTGAGCGTAAACGGCCAAATACATACAAAAACATGTCAAAGTGCCCGTCTTGATGAGTATTCATGTAAACAGTCGATTTATACTAAACATTGTCGGTACACAGGCTATTAAGTTAATGTAAACAGTTGAGAAACTAAACTTGTGTAACAGTTTGATCCGTGCACGAGGTCTTAAAGAGACAGCAACCTAAATAAACCTGCTGCTGTTTGTCATTAATGTTTATTTATACATTGAAGACTAACCAGTGTTATTTTAAAGTTAAAAAGATTATCCTGTTTCTGTGGTATTTCTGTACCTGAATATTACTGTTAAAGGGGTCATATGATGCGATTTCAAGTTTTCATTTCTCTTTGGAGTGTTACAAGCTGATTGTGCATAGATAAGATCCCTGAAGTTGCAAAGACTAAAGTCTCAAAAGTTAAGACTCTGCCACGCCCCCCTAAAATGGCTCGTTCTAACACGCCCCCACATATCTACCTCACTATGTGGAAATATTAGAATAATGCCGCCCAAATGTGCATGCAAAGAAAGAAGGCGTGGTTTCAGTAACCGCAGTTAGTGTTGAAGCAGCCATGTCAGAGAGACACTTTGTGTTTCTAGGCGAAAGCAAAAGCACTTTATTTGGCCTTCCGAAAGTAGAGGCTACATGCTGAATGGAAAACATACAAGCAATAGTAATAGTGATACTTGCCCTATCAGGTACTGCTAAAAAAAAAGCAATACATTCTATTTTATTTTTAAACACAACATTCAACTCCATATGTCTTTATATGCTAGGCTCTCTCATATTCAAATGACTAAAAGCAGGTGTTCATGTATGCAAACCTGATCAGCAAAATCTAAATGGTGCGCTCTCTTCAGAGGAGCATGTTCTGACAAATAATGCAGTCAGCATGCTGACTCACAGTCTGTAAGTACGTTTTCATATTTAAACGATTTACCACAGATGATTCAAATGCGAGTTTTGAGCAGTGTAGAGTAGAGCTTGTTGTTTGTCATTTCTCCGATCACAAATGCAGACATGGTTTTATGTTGACGCGACGCAATGCAATGCAGCGTGTAAAAAGACAGTATAAGTCATTATAATCCGTAATTATGTCCCCACTGGATGCAACAAATGCCTCGTTTATAATGGGTTTTAATGTTTTTGTCTTGTCGATCCGGGACACGGCATCATCACAGTATGGTGAGGGGCGTAACATTTCCGTCACACGCTTTAGATATTCGGCCAATCACAACACACTGGATAGCTGGCCAATCACAGCACACCTCGCTTTTCAGACCGATGAGCTTTGTAAAAATCGACACGTTTCAGAAAGGCGGGGCATAGAGGAGAAACAATCATGTACAGTATGTGGACAATAATGTGTTTTTTTAACCTTAAACCACATAAACACATTTCATTACACCAAATACACAAATAATGTTATTTTTAGCAACATCATATGACCCCTTTAAACTAAGCAACTCTTACTTTCCATTTAAGCCCCTTAAAGTGTGTTGTCTAACTCTGATCCTCATCATTTAAAGGGTTAGTTCACCCAAAAATGAAAAATAGGCTGCGTTTTACTCACCCCCGATGCATCCTAGGTGTATATGACTTTCTTCTTTCAGACGAATCCAGTCGGAGTTATATTAAAAATTGTCTTTGATCTTTCAAGCTCTATCGTTGCACTCAGCGGGTGTTGCATTGCTTCTGTCCAAAATAAGGTCAATAAAAAGCTCCTTTCCATTTAAAAAAAAAGTGTCTCACACGGCTCCGGGGGGTGAACAAAGGCCTCCTGTAGCGAATCGATGCGTTTTTGTAAGAAAAATATCCATATTCAAAACGTAATAATCACTTGAATCTAGCTTGCGCCAGCAGTTGTACATGGAAGCAGTTCCGGGGTCCATGACGTATGGGGTCAGCGTTGCGCATGCGCCGGTGAGTCTCGTGAAAACCAACGTTTGTTTACAGGATCAAAAGAAGCAAAGTTTCCTTACTTTAGCAAAGGAAAACCAGTCTCGTCTTGGCTTATATCGAAATCCTCCGACATTCTTCTTTACAAATCCTCGTTTTGTACTTCTAATTAGTGACCGTTGTTTTGTTTCGATCTCTCCGCGTGCGTCACTTCTGAGC